TGTGTGTGTATGAGTGTGTGTGCGTGTGTGTATGAGTGTGTGTGCGTGTGTCTGTGTCTGTGTGAGTGTCTGTGTGAGTGTGTGAGAGAGAGTGAGTGTGAGTGTCTGTGTCTGTGTGTGTCTGTCATCTTACAGCTAGCCCCTCAGCCCCTCAGCCCATCACCCCACCTAGCACCCCCCCAACCCCTTTTGGGACATGGCATCGGGCAAAGGTGGTGACTATTGAAGCCCCACCTTGCCAAATAGCTGGCTGTTCCTCAGGAGGAGGAGACCGTCCGTACGCTCAGTTCAGACAATGCCAACCTGAGCAAGGTGTGCCCACAGTAAAAGTCAGCGGGTGTATGAATTTGGGGGGGGGGGGATGTGGGGATCAACGCTGGGGACAGGGAGGACAGTGTGCCTCGCTAACCTACCTCTTCCTCCACCTCCTCCTCAACGTCAATGTCAAAGAACGATCCCAGGTACGTGAGGTAGAAAACACTGAGCAAACCAAACAGGAGGTTGATCAGATGGACCAAGATATTCTGGGAGGCGGGGGGGAGGTTGGGGAAGGAAAGAGAGAGAAAAGGATTACAGCTCTTCATTACACACACACGCGCACGCTGACTCTCACTAGGGTACGGGCGCGCGTGCACACACGCTCACACTATTAAATTTAAATCGGATGGCTTTGACAACTTCAGACTAATCCTAGGTCATCAGGGGTATAAAAGAAGAGGGCATTTGAACATCGGGGCGAGAGCAAACTGCCATCTGTAAAGAGAACAGCCATCAGCTCTCAAGAAAGAGAAAATCACTGGTTCTCACTGAAATCTCTAAGCTCTCAGAGTAAGCTCCGTCTAAATAAAGGCACTATGGCACTTTTAGCTAACGTTCCTGACACAGGATTTCGACGGAGGAAGGTGTTCCTGACTGGAGGACAGCGGAGAAGGCAAAGAACAATTCCGGAAGACTTATCCTGGCTGTAATTGGGAGATTAAGCTTTAATTTTCTTTTATCAATTCGGTTTACATAAGGGGTACTTTAATCTTTTGGGACAGCATACCATTAGAATTTTGTTTTACTCAGGGATGATTAGTAGTTTGAAGGGGAATTGTTCGGTTTATTAATAGTTCTGTTAATTTGCTAACTGTTTGATAAATAAATTGATATTTGTCGATTGTAGAGTGACTGTCAGGAGTTCATTTTATATTAGCTCCTTTCTAACTGCTTGGGAGGGGACGGACAGGTTACGCCACTTTTCACACTTCCTCAAGAAGCGAGGGGAGCTTCTCTGGGGGATGAGGTTTTAATTATCACATAGAGGTGTCATAACACACTGATACTGACCCTCACTNNNCCCCTCGATCCGTCTCCCCCCTCTGGTTCTTTACCCCGTTCCCCCTCACTCCCTCTTGCCAGGGTAAAGGAAAGGGTTTTTAGCGGGGAGTTAATACTCACATGGAGGAGGGCACTAGCAGCATAGGTAACCAGAATGGCTGGGAACTTGCCCAAGGTCAGGGCACTCATGAAGACATCTGAGGAGGAGAGGGCAGCAGGTTAGCGAACAGCAGATCACAACATCATGCACGGGCTCCCGGGGAGGGGGAGGGCGGGGGGGATGGTGGAGAAAGGGAGAAGATAGGGCCAGGGTGATGGGGATCGGGGGACGGGAGATAGAGAGAGGAGAGAGCAAGGGGCAAGGCGGAGTGTGGGTTGGGAGGGGGGTGAGGGGTGAAGCGGGGCGAGGGAGGGCGCATGGGAAGTGGCCGGAGGGTGATACTTACAGGAATTGAGCCATCGAGACATTGGGACGTTCCAGTTGGTCACAACCAGCACCATGGACCGAGGGAGCTCCACACTCAGAGGCCTGGACACTTCCAGATCCCTGCAACCGGGCACACGGCATGGGGTAAGCCTGGGCTATAACCTCAGCACTGACTGCCCCACAGCGCCCGCTCCCTCGGCCCCGACCCTCCGACAGCGCCTGCTCCCTCGGCCCCGACCCTCCGACAACGCCCGCTCCCTCGGCCCCGACCCTCCGACAACGCCCGCTCCCTCGGCCCCGACCCTCCGACA